TAACGTTACAAGTCCATATAAAACAGCCAATATCACACACATACACACACCCACCCACCCACACATACACACACACACACACCACATCTAAGGGCACGAACCTGCTGCCGAAGTACTCCGGCGGAGGGCTGACGGCGTCGTAGATCACCGGCTCCCCATCGTTGCCGGGGATGGCGTGGGTGAAGCCATTGGTGGGCGTCGTGGTCACGTCCTCAGCCAGGCGGTCCACGAAGCCCTCGTCGGAGTCGTGGCTGGCCGGGGACGAGGCGCCCTTCTCGCGCACCACCGCGTTCTTGAGGCAGCCCTCGCGCCGCAGCTCCTCCTCCTTCTGCTGCTGCGCGCGGATCTCGGCCTCGATCACGTTCTCCTGCGACGGGGGCTTCTTGGCCACGGTCTCGACGATGCGGGCTGGGCGGCCGGTCTTCTGACGGAGGGCGGGGGAGAGTTAGTCGCTCGTGCCTTACATAACGACGCTAATGGCACCCAGATTATTTACTTCTCGTACAAACTGGTACTGATTTGTGCTAGAACGACGAATGTATTTTCGCTGAATAATTTTCAGACCACTGCTATGGATAGTTATTATTCATTCGTATTGATATTCCTTTATTTCTGGTAACGGTTCACCGTCCAATATAATACTGATTTAACAAAATTTAATTTAAAATGATATCAATAATTTTACAACAGAATTAGAATGCGTTCACTACAGATAAACACCAAGAACAGATGATAACTAACAACAGCACTGTTACTCAGAGGAAAAAAAGAGAAAATTACTCTAAATATACTCAAACTTTATTCAAACTGGAATTTGCTAAAGAAAAGACTAAAGGAAAGGAAAAACTAAAATACATTGCTCAAAATATTCTGTAATTTGTTCAGATACTGCTCAAAATATACAAAAAAAAACCTCAAAACATACAAAATAAATCTGCACAAAACCAACCTTAAAAATTACTCAAAAAAACATTTAAAAAAACACATAAATCCACTCAAAAAAAAAAAAAAAAAAAAAAAAAAAAAAAAGAGAAAAAAAATCGCCCCCAACCCACTCACCTTAGGACCAGCTTCGGACACCCCGTACACGTACTGCTTGGCGGGGCGCTCCTCCTCCCTCTCCGGGGCGCCCTTGAGCTTAGCAGGAGCCTCCAGGGACGGCGGGTTAGACTCCTCCGACTCTGCAGGGGAGTTGTCGAACTGCGGCGGCGGGGCAGGGATGAATTCTAAGGGCGGCGTCACCGTGCGGGGTGATTCCTCCTCCTCCTGAAGGGGAAGCAGAAGTGTAAGTATAATGAAGGGATATTCTGGATTCATGCGACGTCTAGATTCTTTTTTTTCTTCTGGCGAGGGTGGGGTGGGGGTAGGGGGTGGGGGGGAGAGGTCATGAAGTGAAAGATAATTCTGGATTCATGGGACGTCTAGGTTCTTTTTCCTCCTGGCGGGGCGGGGGAGATCGGTAAGTAATTGATGTTTTTTGAATTCATATGGGGCCTAGATTCCTCTCTCTCCTGACGGGGCGGGAGAAATAAACAAACAAAGGCAATTACTACGAGAATATCATCTTCTCATTTTCCTCCCGAAGGAGAAATATATATTTTTTTCCTCAACTCATATATCAATACGATTCTAAATTCTGACGGAGAAAAGGAAAGAAAAGGTAACTTCTAATTCTAACTTAATTTCCTGGGGCTCCGCTCTCCCCTTTGAAAGTTAAAAGACAAAATAATCGAATCCTAATAAGACCCTGGCTTTATTTACAAGCCACAGAATCCACATGCTGCAAAAACACATTCCTATCTTACTGAGACAGCTGACTTTCCACAGGCAATCAAACCCTCAGCTTTATCATTATTTGTAATCGGGGAAACGATCAAACACGCTAGATTCTCCTCCCGATTAAGCTGTGGCATGATACCCTTACGAGACCGAGATGAAATGACCTTGGAGAGTCGTGCAACGTCGTAGCATTTCTTATCCGAGTTGAGGTGACCTCCCGTCCTCAAACATTCTGTTATCACTCCGACGTATCTCCTTCAAGTATCGTATCTCGAGGTACTTCTTGGAAATGACTCGCTCCGCAAAATCCTAATCATAAAAACTTCCAAAACTCATACTTCGTCTCATACTAAGTTTTAATTAGGATTATCTCTGATCTTAAAATGATCTCCTTTGTATTGCAATTTCAGCTCCCAGGCTCTCTCTCTTAAAATGTTTAAATGTCTCTCTACTCTTCGCTAATAATACCAAACTCTTATTAAGTGTTTAATTTCCTCTCGCTATCTTATCCTCATTTTTTTTAAGAATAAGCTATCCCCCCCTCCCCCCCTCATATTGAATGTCATCCTATTTTTCTTATTATTCTTTTCGTCTCATTTTTTTTTTAGTCAAACACATCATCCCTTTTTCAGGTCTTCCCTCCTTCCCTCTCCCCTCCCTTTCCTCTCCCCTTTTCAGATCCTCCTTCCTTCCCTCCCTCTCCCCCTCCCTTCCCTCCCCTTTTCAGATCCTCCTTCCCTCCTTATCTCCTTCTCCCCTCTCTCCCTCCCTTCCCTCTCCCTCTCTCACCTGGACCACCGGCGTGACTCCCGGCACGTGGAACCGTACGTTGGCAACACTCTCCCATCCGCCTTCGTCCATCGTGGCCAACATGCGGTTCTCCCAGTAGGTCTTGGTGGCTACCTTGTTGTCGAGGATACTGAAGTATTCCACCTCGCCTGCCGATAAAAATTGCGGATTAGTTATGCAGATAAGGACTACTATAATGATGATATAATGATAATAATAATAACAACAGCAGTAATAAGATATTGATGATGATAATAGTAATGGCAATGATAATACTAATAGTAATGATAATGGTAATGGTAATGGTAATGGTAATGATAATAGTAATAGTAATGACATTGGTAATGATAATGATGATGAGGATGATAATAATAAAAGCGATGATGACAACACCAAGAACAACAATAACAAAAGCAGAAGCAACACTAAAAACAATAAAACTAATAATGATAATAAAAATGATAACGATAACGATAATGATAACAACACCAATAACAACAAAATAGTAATACCAACACTACTAACAAGAGCTATAGAAGCAGTATTAATAACAACATTAAGAGTAAAATTAATAAAATATTAATAATAATAATAATAATAATAATAACAGTATTTTAAGTAGTCGTACATTTTAATGACGAAAAACTGACTGTTATAAACGATCTCAAAATAACAGAGCAGAAACAAACATGATAAAAAAAACACAACGACCTATCCAAGAAATCAAATCACCATAACCTCCTAGAACAAACAAAACAAACATGAACACATGAAGAACAAGAACAACATACGTTCTCTCTCCACAACAAAGAACAAGAAAGGTCACACCGCCTCATTGCTAGCCTGGATACCGTGCATCAACATGCGACCCCACATTCAGCTTAAAATAACAGGTCTTTGGGAAGAAACAGTCTTTCTTGCATGACTCAGAGAGACAGAGAGAAAAGGCGAGAATGAGCATGCACCTATGAGGATGGGGAAGGGGGAAGGGAGAAGGGGAGGGGGGAAGGGGGGAAGGGAGAGGGGGGAAGGGAGAGGGAAGGGGAAGGGGAGGAGGGGGGGAGGACAGGTAGGAGGGGGTTAGGTAGACAGGGATGTCGGAGGGAGGGCTATGGAGGGTGAGGATTAAGGAAGGGAAAGGAAGGGATAGGAAGGGAAGGGAAGAGAAAGGAAGGGAAGGAAAGGGAAGAGAAAGGAAGGGAGGGGAAGGGGGAAGTTTCATGTTTTCAGCGACTCACCAGGCATTTTTGTTGTTGTTTTAAGATCACGATGCTACCTTACAAAAAATCGTAAACACATTCGTCTTCACAAGTTCAATACTTTAAATCGCACTGACACACATCACAGCACTCCATATGCTTCGATTAACTCCCTGTTGCATTTCACGACTGTGATATCAGCCTCGTAAATGTTTTTATCAGCATTTCAAAAGATGATGTCAGCCTCACAATTTCAACCGCTTTATCAGTGCACCAATGTTGCAGGAACTGATCTGGGCTGCAGGCACGTCCTGTTACATCACCCTCTTCCTCTATAATTTGAAATACATCAACTAAACGCTCTTTTCATCTTACCACATCATATATACAATTTCTCAGGACATTCCCTATCTCTCCCTGGTTCCCACGCTTATCTACCGAAACACATGCCAAACTTAATCCAGGTTTTAAAAAGCTCTAAAAGACGCTCTCCTTGTACAATCCCATCTTGGGTTTCTTAATTGGAATTTCTTGAACGCGGCTGTTACTTAGAGAAAAAAAAAGAGGAGAGGGGAATTCCAGGAGAATAAAAACGATAATAACTAAGAAGGTCGCGATCTATGCCTTCTTTCCCTCCAGACAGAGGTCATGACGCAGCTTTTCTTGAGGACTACGATGAGATGACTTTAGGCGAGAGGAATATCTGCGTTACATAACCACCAGTGTATTTTTTTATTATTTTCTTTTTATCTAGGAGGGTTTGGTAACTCAATCCTTGCATTTTCAGAAGAGTATAGTCCCCTTCTTTGAATAATTTCCCAAGTGCAAACAAATATAAACACAAGTCAGACGTCCTTTTTAAACTATCTTCGCTTCTATCACACTTACAAAAAAGAAAGAAAAAATCAACGTTCTTTAAAAAAAACGAGATATTTCCATACGTGGCTAATTCAACACCGGGTAAATACCATTCTTTCCAAGGTACTTTCTTCCCGGATATTTAAAAACGGCTAAATTTCCAGAGTTTTTTTTCCCCTTCCAATAGCCTTAGTTACACTCCCTAGCAACGAATAACAGCGATAACAGGCCTGAGGGAAACTTTTCCATTAGCAATAGCAACATTTTTTTCTTCTTCTCCGCGCAGCACATGCACGGGCAAGTGCAAGGCCAGACTAACAAACACTGCAACAAAATCCAGAAAAATTCACTCGTGTGCACCCTGCCTGCGCCTCTATCGAATACACACGCTGACTCAAAGTACACATACATGCAGGGGGTACACAGAGGGGATAGGGGGGAGGAAAGGCATACCACCCACTTCTTATCTCTCTGCGATAACCGAAGACAGATGTTGACATATCAGTCATTACCAAGATACAGAAAACACGATCTATACAGCCACTACGTATATAGAAACTACATAACCTAAACCTTTAAAATAAACCGTAATATACCCGGTGAAGTTAACCATAAACCTCGACATGTAAAAACCATCTACTATATATTTCTCTACAAGCAACTACACCGACATCTTTTATCACCGCTTATCAGGACACGTAATCATAAAATCGCCTAATCACTTGAGCGGAAAATCGGCAATCACAAACTTGCAGTAGAGATAACAAGTCTTTGCCCAATCGCTGTGCAAATAACCTGCCAATCTTTTAGCATGTAAATTTTCCAGCAATTTTTATCTCTCATGTATAGGCCTATCAAAAAAGGATCAACTCACGCCCTAAATAATACAAAAGAGAAAAGAAAAGATATATGGCAAGAAACACGGCAGGTGGTCGGATGACAAAGTCTTATCTTTATAACAATGGGAGATTAGAAGTAACGGTCATTAGCGTCAAATCTTTTCAAGTACTATATATCCGAGGATCCTGTGTCGTGTTTGTGATTTTCATGTATAGGAAATGACGATAATCGTGATAGTGAAGGTGAAGAAGAAGAGGAGGAGGAAGAATAAGAATAAGAATGAGAAGATGATGATGATGATGATGATGATGAAGAAGGAGATGATGATGATGATGATGATGATGAAGAAGGAGATGATGATGATGATGATGATGATGATGATGATGATGATGAAGAAGAAGGAGAAGATATGATGATGGTGATGAAGAAGAGGAAGAAGAAGAAGAAGAATAGAAGGATGGTAGTAGTAGTAGTGATAACAATAGATACTAATAATAGTAGTAATAGCAATAGTAAAAATACCAATACCGATAGCAATAGCAGTACCACTACTGTAGTAGTAACAGCAGCAGTAACAACAATAGCATCGACATCTTTAACAACAACAATATTAACAATAACAAAAAGACATCAACAATATTAATAAAAATACAAGTTAGCACAACAACAACAATTATAATAACGCCAATCCTGTTAGGAACAACACATCTAATACCCGTAATAATGGCAACAACAGCTATCACAATCACAAACTCCTCGCCGTTCGGAAAACACATGAAGATGGCGACCAAATCTCTCACACTCACTGGAAAAAAAAAACCTCACATGGAATTCCTTCCCATGGATACGTACCAGCGACTGCTACTTGCAAATTTAGTGTGGGAGTTGTTACGAGATATAGCCATTAGAGGTAACTCAGTAAAGGCGTATTTTACGATGTTTGCGGACCTCAAATTTTGATTGAAAGTACATTCAAGTGTTGTGTCTGATGGTGTGTGTGGTTATGGACGCATATACGGTGGTCGCTTGATTGCCAAGAACTAAGGAGATGCATCATGCGGAATACTGTTTTCCAAAAATCATATGGCTTTTGAGGAAGTACATCGTGTATTTTGTTAGTTTTTCGAGAGGCACTATGAATACAAGACAAAAAAAAGTTTCTTAAAATCACGCACCACAGACTGCATAACCACCATGAACCAAGACGCTACAACTACAACTACTACAACTACTACCACTACTACTACTACTACTACACACACACATCTACTAACCTCTCGCCATGTTAAAGCCTGTGTTCCCCGTGTGTGATATTCGTAAACTGTTCTTAAACACACTTCCCGACCAATCTGTGATGATTTCTGTGGCTGGTGGCGTTACCTATGTCACGATTAGTCACCACTGATTCATCAACCAAGGAACTAAGCTTAAATTACCTGTCGTGACGTCACTTCCGGCTAAGACAATTCCTTGTAGTGCAGCACAGACAACGACCAAAGTTCTCACAGAACATAGGACAAATTTACGTTTTTTTTTCTTTCTTTTATTATCAAAGTTGTTCGTCATGGGAATATATAGACCAGTGAGTTCTATTTCCAGGTCAGATAAAGTGATGAATGGCCTATTTAAAGTAGTATTGCCTAACACTACGTAACCCAGCCTTTCTGATATGTATTTACAGTAGGCGTCATACATGTTGTAGATAAGTTATTAGCTGCATCAGACCATAGCTGGAATTGATACAAAATCCTTTTGAATATATTGTATTTTTCTTCGGTAGATAAATTGTAAAGTACTCTCCACAAAATATTGAATTTCATGTGAATGTGCCAAATTACACATTAATAAATGCATGATATCGTTTTGTTTTGAAGTTTATTGCATAGAAGATAAGTACTTCGAAGCACTGAGCTTGGAATACTGGAAGAAAAAGAAATCAACTTACCGAACCGAAACTGAGATAACGGTTCTAAAAAAAAAAAAATATGAAGTGACGCCATATTCACCTGAATAATGATAATAAAAAATTAAGCAGACCCGCCAATAAACAAAAGCGCCTCGACATGCGCAAAGACGAGAGCAACGCAAAGGCAACAACACACGTTACAACCCCCTAACCCTCCAACCCCCACCCCTCTATCCCCTCCCCCACACGTAAACCGCCGCTGCCACGCGCACCGGATCCAGTGACTTACTGTTCGCTGTCCTAGAACAATACACTCTATTGTCTCTCCGTTTTGCATGCATTGTCAGAGCCGTGTTCCCTAACGCTGAATAAGCCGGTGTATCGGGGTTACACATCCTCCGCTGGCTAGGTCGTTCGGACAGGTTTGATTAAAAGGAGTCACTGTCATGGATGCCTTTTCTCGTCGGGTCATCGTTGATGCTGTTTCATTGGGACCAAGGTCTTTGATATTTCAAGGGATAAGTCAGAGGAATAAATCGTTTAAAATTTGATTTTCAGTCCAGCAACTGATTCACAATCCATCGTTAATTTTGTATATAAATTTATCCTATCTACATACGAGATCTCGAGACAAATTTCATGCGTACAACTACATATCCTTTACCAAATATACAAACACCAAGACATCAACCGCACTTAAAACTGAACAGCTTTTCAGAATAAGACTTCACATATAATCAGAGTAAATGAGTGCTTTGTTGCGACAGCTCAGCGCTTACCAAGCTATCTTGTACCGCAAAATGATGAGTATTCAGCGTGTATATCCTTCACATGTTGACAATACGCCCAGGTAGCAAATACACCTTTTGTGTTTTGAAATTTCGTAACTGTAAATGGCAGGTAAAGAGAAACTGCGCAAGATCTCAGATCAAAACATTTTCGCTTTCGTAACTAAAAGTAATGTTGAAATATCAGGTTTCAATAACAGAAACCAAGACAAACGTACTCCTTTCGCCAAACAAATCGCACCCTCTTCTCTCGGCTACCAATCCCCTGGACCTAAAAAAAAAAAATGACCACAACTTCTGACTCAAAACGCAACGTTTCCCGACGATATTCTTCATAATGTCGACATTCATGCTCCCTCTCATCATTCCTGAACCGCTTATGAAAACCTCAAAAAACAAAAACAAAATAACGCATAAAAAAGAGAGTATATAAACAAACGAGACCCCAGGATACACAACCTCGAAGGAAACGGAACTCTGCGCGCCCCTCGTGTGCCATCGTCCCCCGTGGCCTCGCACCAACCCAGGACAGGTACGGACGGAGCTGGAGGTGACGCGGAGGCAAAGGAGAGACACAGCAGGGCCCCGTTATAACCCCAAAGCGATCGCAACGGTATACTTTGGGTGGCGTCGAAGGAGGACCTCTTCCCATTTTCTGTTGGCTCGACCCGGCCTTATATGACGGCGCGCGTTTTCTTTGCGGGGCGGTAAGGTTCCCGTGCTTTAAGGTTTAAGAAACACAAATTGTATAACCACAGGGTCGCGTTTCACTGTGGGAACATATGTCTGCATACATTACACAAAGTGAGGGTTAAAGACTTAAGCTTCGGTGCATTTAAGATGAATGTGAAGCAAGCAATAAGGCACGTTCACAGCCACTCTTAAAACGTGTACACTAACCCCAAATAAAGCACGCAGATTCCGGTCTTTTCTTTAAGGCAACCAATTACACAATTAAGCTAGTTAGCCCTCTCCTCACACCAAATAAGGACCCCATTTTCTCTAACCAATATGGCGCCGAGGTGAACTCTACGCCTCGCTGTCCAAGGGAAAAAAAAAAGTTTCAAAATTAATGCTTAGGGATTGAGTAACTGTAAAAGTAACCAGCGACCGTATTATATGAGACTGTTTTAAAATATCTCGTGATATTTGATCATTTGCTTTAAGATCGTGAAATAGAAATACATTCATCGAATACACTTCTAATATTGCGAAAGTAAACAAGCAGGATATACAACACCTGACCATTCCACGTCCATTTCATCACAACGACCTTGGGTTTGGTTCTTAAGTTATGTTCTGGATGAGTGCTCTCTTACCCTCCTCCTTCTGTCCTTCCCCTCTTCCCTCCTTCACTCAAAAAACGAAGAAAAATAGAATTTCTGCCCCCCCCCCCACTAACCTTACCTTTCCTCTGGCACAACCCCCTCCACGCACCCACGCCGTGCCCTTAACATTTCTAGGTCATGGCCCGGTATACCCAGGGCATGGAATAATCCCTTGACCAACTAACGCGTGGATTGTTCGCTTAATTCGACGACGTTCTAACAAATTATTACGTTCCAAAACAAGGGATTTTATTTGATTTATTTGTTGTTTTGCTTTCTGACTAGATTTTTAGATTTTAGAAGCATTTCACCGCTGCCTGGAGTGTCTGCCTGGCGATGCCTTAACATATACTGTGACCTTTTAAACCCTGGTGTGGAATGCGCTCTCTCTCTCTCTCTCTCTCTCTCTCTCTCTCTCTCTCTCTCTCTCTCTCTCTCTCTCTCCCTCTTTCTCTCTCTCTCCCTCTCCCTCTCTGTCTTTCTCTCTCGGTCCGTTTGTCTTTGCCTCTCTTT